ACAAACCTTGTTCACACGCAAAGCTTTCTTTATGACCACATTTTCAGATAAGCTTTATGAAGTTCTAAAGGGCTCTAAAGTTGCTCCCACTAGAATTTTGTTGGGAACTAGAGGAAAATATAAATTAATTTTGGGAGGGCTGATATTTATCTTGTAAATACTTTCTCATTCACACTTGGGTTACAGTTCCTTATTTCTCTTTATAGCTTTTAAAAATAATTTTACTTACTGAACTGCTCATAATTAGTTTATTGAAATTTTTTGTTACCATTGTCTTGATTCAGGTTGTTATTGATGCTATTGGGAGTTGCATTTATTTGTTGAGAAAATTTAATTTTTGTTTATTGCTGTTGAATAGAAAAGTTATTGTTAAAGATTTATTTGGCATTCTGAGACTTTTCTTGAATAATTTTATTAATTATAATAGAAATCCTTGTAGTGTTTTAATTGACAAGAAGTTTAGAGTAATTCCATTGCTAAATTCCACTTTAGCTTTCAAATCAAGAATAGAAATTGGAGACAAAAGTAAGATTTTAAAAACTGCTTTTGGATTAGGATTCAATTTTATATCTTTTTTTGTTAATTTTTTAAAGATGTATTTATTTATATGTATAAGAACTTGGGTACAGGTGTGAGGTGTGGGGAGTGAGAGGATTCACCAGAGACAGAGCGGGGAGCAGAACAGGCAGACTGATGAAGTACACTGCTGAGGGCAGCAGCAGGCGGGTCAGGGGAGGTCTGCCTTGACATGTGGGTCAGCTCCCTGGCTGGGGATCAAACTTGCATTGCAGTGGCTGTGGACAGCTTCATAGCATGTGCCACAAGAGAGGGCCCTCTTGTTACTTATTTTATTGTGCTATCACTGGTTTACAATGTTGCATATGATTTAAGGCTTAGGATCATGCCACTTCAGTGTATGTTCCCACACCCACCCATCACCAGGTGGTCTTGCATGGGCTCTCCTCCTCATTTGGCTGTCCACACCTTCCCCTCTGATAGCCTCAATTATACAGCCAGGTTTCTAGGGTTTGTTATTAATCTGGGTTTATCTGACCCTTTATTTTGTATCTTTATAGTTACATATATGTGAAACCAGAATTTTCTGTTCTCTTTCTGACTTACATGTCTTCCACTGCAATTCCACTCATGTTGTTGCAAGTGGCAAGAACTCCTTTTTTATAGCCTAGTAGTATTCCATTATGTATATAATTGTGTGTGTATATATATATATATATATATATGTGGGTAGATGTATGTGTGTATGCCACATCGCCCCAGTCCAATAGCCACCCATTTTAGAGAAAATATATTAACTGCATGTTACCATCTGTGTGCCAGGCTTTACACTGCTGGATCACTTAGGGGGAAAATATATGAGTTTTTCAGGTCTAGTGAGGACTCCACACTACAGTTTCCTGTCATACATGACATGCTCTCCCTCGGAGCATTTGATTCCTGTCTGTGTTATAATAGCTCAAAACCTCTCACTGATGGGGACTCTTTATCTGGAATCATCTCAGGTTGCCTGGGGTCAACAGTAACACATCTTGAGCCCCCTTCCTTTTATGGTTACTGGAAGTCATCCCATCATAGCAGGACCCGGCTGGCACATGGGAGACAGACACAATATGAGTAATGAAATCCCACTCAGAGTCACACAAGGATGGATTTAGGGGCCCAAAGAACCACCACTTTCTCTGACACAAGACGGTGCCCAGAAGACACAATACTAATAAAAAATATATATATTTTCATTTCAGTCTTAATACTATGTTTGATTTCGTTTAGCAACTAGGTCAAAATTTTGTATTTCCAGTTATAGGAAACTTTTGTGCACTCATGAAGGTAAAGACCCCTCTTTATCATGACTTGTGAAAGTTAATGATAAGTGTGAAAGAAAGTTTTTGTTTGCACTGACATTGGGGGGGGTGTTTGTTTAAGGTGGTTACACACTTCATTGTGTTTGGGTAAATATTGGTTCTTGTTACATGATGGGAACTGACAAGTGATGACAGGCATACACCAGTGACATCATCTGAGCTGACACTGTAATGTGAAGCAAACAGGCTGAAAGATTCAGGCTGACATAACATAGATGATCATTCTGCATCACAGGCTTTTATTCTCTCTACTTGCACAATTATCCAGTTTACATTTGAGGTGTTGCCCACTCTTTAGGCTTTACTTGCTTTTTTGAAAATGATTTGAAGGTTTGACACGTTGGACTGTGCGACTACATTGTCTCCACACCGTCACATTGCAGGTGGCATGCGTTACCTTTGCATATGTAATGGCCCCTCAAATTGTTAAGAGGTGTGCAATTTCTTTTGGCGATGAGGAAAAGACAGCATCATCCTCTGTATGTGCAATAAAGTACAATGTAGCTTTGGATGGATTGGGGGAAAATTAGAGAATGAGTTAGGTAGTTCAAATTTTAGAATAAAACGCATCCCAGACAGCTACATTAACAATGCATAATTAGACCAAAGTGGTTTTTTTGCAGTCTATCTGAATAAAAGCTGGCTCTACAGCATACTTGGCTTTTCTAGGAAACTGGTGTATTCTTTTTTGCTTTTGTGTTTAGAAATCATGGATGATTTGAATTTTTCTTTACAGTACCCGTGAGATTAGTTTCATGCTTATCTATCAGAATCAAAAGTGAGAAAATTAAGAAAAATTGTAACACAGTTTTTTCTTCTTCCAAATTAAATCTGACCTGGTGTGATTTGTAGCTGGTTCTTTTTAGTTTTCTTCCTCATATATTAAAATACCCATAGAATGAAGATATGTGTGTGTATGTAAATATATATCTTCACATATATATTTTTGTGTCTAACACATGCACCAGTGTGAATAAGAAAATCTTACATTTGCATTTTTAAGATGTACTTATTTATTTGATTTTATTATTTTATTTCCTACATCATTGTTAGTTTTTTGGACCTTATTTGACTTCTCTCCTCAGGGCACCTATCTGCATTATTAACATGACTGGTAGACAAGTTTATTTTAAGTAAAGTGTGCTGGTTGAAAAACATGAACTCAAGTGGAGCTATTGCTTTCTTTTTGACAGACAAAATAAATCTTGAAATTGACAGTCAATCTGCTCTTCAAAAATTATCATTATTGATAATAAAATAAGAAAAGAATGAGATGGCAGTTTTTGAAAGTTATTGAATGACAGATAGTGATGAGTGTTTTGATAAACAACATGAGATGGTGATAGAAAGCGCTAACTCTGGAACTAAGCATTTGGTTCACAAACACGGACCTTTAAACCAACTGTGGCTCTCACTGAGTTGCCTCACTTTTTCCTTTTGTGGGTCAATTTCTCTGTTTGTAAAATGTGGATAAGAACAGCATCTATCTCCTGTGGTGGTGTTGGGGGGGTGGTGTCCCTGGGACCACCCTCAGCGCTGGACATTGGCTAGGATTCCCAAGATCAGAAAAGTTGTTAGACTCACAGTCATGGTTTATTACAGTGAAAGGACACAGATTTTCTACAGCAAAGGGGAAAAGCATAATAGGCAACATCCAGTCACCGGCAGGCATCCAGGCATTCCCTCCCAGGAGAATAACACGGAGTGTCCTTCATTCTCCCAACAACGACACAGGGAAACTCGGCTGAGCTTTGGGATGTGGAGAGTTCCCAGAGCCAAACAGATAGCATTATATGACTGACTTCTGCTCCCCTCTCCTCCAAACCTCACACTCCCAGCCCTGAGCATAAAAGTTCATGTCAAACTGGAATAGCTTTGGTCAAGGGCTTGGATATTCAGAATCTCTCTCATCAGGTCAATTCATCTCAGAGTACAGGGTTATCTTACAGACATGGTCAGAGGGCAGCCTAAAGACAAGCCTTCCTTTGGAATGGACAGGGTTTGAGTAAATTGGAACTGCTGTCTTAACCCCAACTGACAGAAGTTATGAGGAAACATGAGCTAACCATATAACTTTGGATAGAGCTGGCTGGTTAAACAAGTCAGGTTAGCACTGTGAACTGAATGGAGCAGATTGTTTGAAAAACCACAAGAAATAAAGACACACAGAAGGGCATATGCACTCCTTTGTTTACAAGAGCCACGTTGTGAAAACAACCTCAGAGGAGTGGGTTAAGAAAATGTAATCTGGGCCCTTGCTGGTGGCACTATGGGTTAAAGCACTGAAGTATGAAGCTCTCTGAATCTACTGCAGCAGGAGTTTGATCCCTGGCCAGGGAGGTGACCCACAGGGTGCAGCAGACCTCTTCTGACCTGCACGCTGCTCCCCTCAGCAGTGTATTTCAGTAGATCTGCCTGTTCTGTTCCTCTCTCTGTGTGTGATGAATCTTCTCCCCCACCACACCTCTGGCCTGTTCCCCAGTTCTGTAAGCATCAATAAATAAATCTTAAAAAAATTAATCTATATAGACAGTAGAATAGAACTCAACTATTAAAAAAATGAACACATCATTTGCAACAATATAGATGAACTAGAGAGGATAATGCTAAGTGAAGGAAGACAGAGGAGACGGATAAGTACTAGGTGGTTTCACTCCTATGTGAAATATAGAGAAACAGACAAACAAAAAAGACTCAGCCAAAGCAAACCAACAACCAACTCTTGACATCTGCTTGTAAAGCTGAGGCAGCTGGAAAGGGACGGTGGCCAGGGGCAGAAGGGGGGAGACGCAGACAAAGGGGACCCATTGGAGCATAGTGGAGGATTATTGGGGCTTTGGTGCTGGATGTGGTGTGAAACATACATTTGTAGAAATTTGGACCTATAATCTTTACAACAAATACAACAACAAATACGATGATGCAAACCAACTTTACTTCAATACATATAACTGGGGAAAAGAAATATAGCTACCATGGATCTTACGATGATGACAAGTCCTCAAGTTTCGAAGGATGGGGCATTGTGAATAAAACAATTGAATATTTTAGCTTGGGCATTTTAGTAAGAAAAGTTCCCAAACTTCACATTATAACATCCTGTCCTTTTTTCCTTTACAGAGCTCTGAAATCAGCAAAACAGTAGTCAAAGAGAAGAGTTAGTTGAAGACTACGACAATAAAACAGGTACAAGAGCCAATTCACAGTAATCGCCAACTGGATTGATAACCATTACATTAAAAATTGCACTTTTCAGATATTTTAGTGTGGTGTTATAGAATGTGTGCGCTCACATACTGTAGCTGTCTGACCATGTGCTAAAGGGAAAGCACCTCTGTGTATACATTAAATCATTTTGAGGACATCAGTTAGCCTAGATAGAGATGTGAAGGGGTTAGTGGATTTTTATCATGATTATTGACTAAATAATACCCTATTCATTAAACGCCTCTCCTGTGGCAAACATTCATCCATGAGGTATTAGGTGATTTTATAGAATTGAGCAAAACAGGCATGGCCTATTTCCACCCTCATGATGCTTACAGTTGAGTGGAATGGACATAAAGTAAATAAGCAACATTAACAATGTGACTAAAAACTGTGATAACTGCTATGAAGAGAAACAGAAGAGCTCTGCAAAAGAAAATATTGGGGCACTGGGAGGAATCCACTATGAACTGGCTGAACCGGGTTGGGGGGGGGGTTGGTTCTCAGGTGATGCTTTTCCCACTGAAAGCTGAATGATGAAGTTCCAGCACAAGGAGCCTCAGTGGGTTCTGGAAATAACAGCTCACGGAGTGGCTCTAGCACAGCGCAGGGGCTGAGACAGAAGATGAAGCTGACTTGAAAAGAAATCCCAGAACTGGCCCATTTCCCAGAAAATGGGTTGCACAGAGCCAGTTCCTGAAGGGTGGTGGGAAGAGGCCTCTGGACAATTTGCATACATTCTGCTCTGTCAGTTTTGTGAGTTGGAATGTAGCCTTCTGATTCCTGAATATGGACGCTTTGGAATCTACCACCAACCCTGTCTTGTGCGAAAGCTCAGTGTAAACCTCTACGGGTGTGCAGAGAGGTTCTCTATCTGTTCATTCCTTCAAACACTAGTTCTAGGGATACATTCTGCAGACATTTTGGGGATCTAGAGAGCCTGACAGTTTCTGAATATGGTAACATTCTCAAGAACTTTAAGGGCATATAAAGATGGTGCAGGTTCTGAGAGGTTTTATAATCAATTGTGTGTTTTTCTGTTTAACTTGATAAGCTATTTCAAGTTTTCATTAGGGTCTGTTTCAAAAGGGTCTCCCTTGAAAATATGCATGTTAAGAGGTCCCTTGTAGTTCTGTGGTTTGCTTGCTTTTAGGAAATGACCTATTTTATGCATGTGCAAACATATTATATTAAATAATTTTCTAGAATTCAGAGAATTCAGGCCAGAAAAAAAAAAATCTGTTGGCGTCAATGGGTTAACGTCTTCAGGCAGAAGAATTTCTTGATCTGAATTATATGGTTAATTGCTTCAAATTCTGCTTATACTTTGCATATGGAAATTTAGCCTTAAGTAACAGTAAGACACACTGGAGTAAGAGCTTAGTAAGTAATTTTCAGTATTAGTAATGGCAATATTTGTTTTTGGAAATCAAACAGACAAGGAAAACCACACAGAAAAACACTGGTCCTTGGGTTCTCTGAATGATTTTCTTTTCCACTAAAAATGTGTGCTCTCCTTGATTTTTAAAATTCTTATATTTTTGAAATAGTCAAAGTGGGGACAATGACTTGAGGTAGTCCTACTTTAGCATTTAAGGAACGCTTGCTTCTCATATAGTAACCGCATGTAAAATACACATTCTGTATTTGCAGCAATAAACGTTTTAAAGATTACACATATAAGAGTTATTGTGCTTTTAGTCCAGAACAGGCTCTTGACCTCCAATTTGGATCAACTCAGCTTCCTGCAGTTCAGTTAATTATTATCAAAAATAAGAAAGAATTGTGAAAACTTTCCTAGGCTTCCATAACGTAGAAACAGAAAAACCTGTTTGCTCTCTAGAAAGACAAGAATCAGCTGTCTCTCAAATACTGCTCTTGCCATTTGCTTGCTCCTAGAGATATAGCTCAAATTTGGAATCTAATTAGAACTCGTAATTGGAAATGACTTACAAGGGGGGAGGGGGAGTTTGATTAACTTTAGACATAAAAGTAGGGCAAGAAATTTGATTGAATAATTGCTTATTATAAAGTGAGTCGGCTTCTGCATGAAATCCAAATTCAGTCTTTCTTTTTGGGGGAGTAATTTTTTCTCCAACCATTTGATAAATCTTTTAATCACTACAAATTGTGATTCTCAAGGGCTATGCTTTGCTCAGTGGGAAACCATTGTTTTAAAGTTTTGAAGCTGGAGTGAAACCCTAGTTTCCTAATTGATTTCCTGTCCATACATATTTTCCAACTATTTTTAGTCTCATTTACCTATTTCTAATACTGAATTTAAAAAAATACATCTTACAGTGTGGCTTCTGTTTTTTTTTTTTTTTTTTTTTTTTTCTAAAGATTTATTTATTTATTTGTGCATACAGAACTGGGGTACAGGCCAGAGGCTCAGGGGCGGTGAGAGGCTTTACCAGAGACAGAGTGGGGAGCAGAACAGGCAGATCGACTAAGTACACTGCTGAGGGAAGCAGCGGGAGGGCCAGGAGAGGTCTGGCTCGCCATGTGGTCTCCTCCGGGGCAGGCGGCAGGCGGGAATCGAACTCATGCGGAAGTAGCCTCAGAGTCTCAGTGCTGTGCTTTAACCCGCTGCGCCACCAGGGAGGGCCATGTGGCTTCTGTTTTTAATATTAATTTATACGCTACTACTATGTAGTAGTAAATCTAGATATACAAAATCCTATAAAGATGTGAAAAGGAAGTGACATTTAAGAATCAATATCCTAAAAGCTTGAATAAACTATGACCTATCAGAACATGCTGGCTGACTCCTTGCACTGGAGACAAAGATTCTAAGTAGTCTCATGAGTTCTTTTACTCCTTCTTCTTCCCCACCTAGTCTGCATTCTGTTCCTAGTTTGTGATCCCCGCTTACAGACACAGCGACTTGTTATTTCTCAATCACTCATAGCACTCACTTTGCCAGGGCTAGGGATGCTGGTTGCTCCATCAATATCTGAGTAATTGAGTGAGGCTGTGACAGGAAGTGGAGAGCCCTGATTGTCCTGTTTTCTGGCTTACAAACATCCTATCTAACATTGAAAGCGGGAGCCTTCTCCTTCCGGTGAACAATCGCATTCGTGATCAATCGAACCCACTTCCTGCCGCTTCTCCACCTCTCTGCTCCCATCTGATGAGCGCATTTCCTGTTTCTTGTGTCTGTTCTACATTCATGGGTTTTGCATTATCTCCGTTTTCAATGTTTCTGTCCCCATTGTTTTTGTTCTACCCCGTTTTTTCTTTATCTGCCCACCGAGCCCCTCACCCCAACCCCCCCCCCACACACACACACATTTTTTGGTGCGCAAGCATCTGAAAACCAAGTCAGATCTCATTTGCTCAAAGAATCCATCCAGGTGTCTCCTGGAATGATACTCTATCCCCTTTGAATTTTTTGTTTAGTTGTGACCAGACACAGCCCCTTGTTTCCTATCTGTGCTAAGTGACCTTGACACAGAAATGACCTGTGAAAACCCAGTTGCTTTATAGGTAAGGCGCTTCCATCCTCTACTCCATTCTCCAAAAACTCACAAGCACGGGCCCCTGGCCAAGTTTTCCACTGGCTTCCAGACCGTGTCTGGTTTCCCAGTGGGTGAATTTGGGCCAGGGGTGCCAGCCTGCCATCACATCCGCTCTCAGGAGAGCTGGCTTTGACGTTAGCCACCTGGCTGTGTGGTCTAGGGGTCCCATGCTCAGGACACTCGCCTGCATTCCTGTCCCCATGACTTTGCCTTATTTGGGGCCTCACTCCTCATCTTAGGACTTGAATACATACTTGGTGCCGAGAACTCCCCGCTTTGTTCCTCCTGCTAGTAGGGGCCTCTTTCATCGCTTCCTTCTCTACCCCTTACCCCCCCAAAAAGGGAGCCCACTCAGATCAAGCTTGAGTTTATAGATTAAATCTTGGTTATTTGCCGACTTTACTCTTAGTAATCACTGTTTCTTCTGCAGATTATTGTTGTTACTTCTTTGTGGAACAGGTTTCTCTTTGCTTCGGTTCATGTCTCTACTCGCCTTTTGACGGGAGCACGTTGGTTTTAATCACAGTGTTGGGACTGTGCCTTCCACTTTCTAGCCATATTAATCATACAGTTGCTACAGATGAGCATCGCTGTGATGTTTGCTGGTTACTTTCTGTATTTTGCAGTATCTTTTTTGGTGTATTATGTTAATTATTTAATGATTTGCACAGAATTCAACTTGCATCTTTTGGCTGACAGTTGCAGATAATCACTTATCTCTATGACCAAAGTACAGAATACTGGCATCACCTCTAAGTATTCTCTCTTGCTTCCTCTCTGTTGTCACCCTCCCTTTTCCACTTCCAACCTTAAGAAACCACCAAACTGTTCTGTTTCTATACTTGGCCTTTCCCAAAATACCATATAAGTGGAATCCCACCATATGTGACCTTTTGAGTCTGGCTTCATTCACTTACCGTAATGTGCATAAGATTCATCCATGTTTTCTAGGATCCTGTGATTTGTTTCTATGCTGAGTAATATTCTATTTTGTGATGTACTTAGGTGAGATTATTCATTCACCATCTGAAGAACTTGGATGATTTTGAAATTTTACTAAGCAAAATAAAATTCTCTAACAACAGGATTCTTGTGATCACAAATTTCATTTTTCTTGAATAAATTACTAGAACTGAGCTCACTAGGTAGTATGCTAGATGCATATTTAACTTTATAAAAAGTTACCAGACTTTCTGTCTCATGTTTGACCTGAAGGTAATTCCCAGCTTACAATATAAACCATAAAACTGTGACAAATTCAAAATAACTGAAATCAAATAAATATTTTTTTTCCATAGAATAATAATGTTAAAATAGGATTTAATAATGGAAAAATACCTGGAAATAAAAATATTTGGGATTTAGACAACACATTTCTAAATAACACTGCATCAAGAGGAAGTCACAAAGGACTTAGAAAATAATTTGAATTATGAATATGAAATTTATGGAATGCAA